CCCGAACGGCTGATGGTTTTTATTTCATGTCATACTCGTAGCTACATTCGTGGCGATCACAATTAGTAATTTAAATTTTTTATTTAAATTGATTTTCGCACCCTGACCTCAAGGCTTTAAAATTGTGGAGCATTTTTCGCTGATTGCGGTTTAAAAAAGCAACAAAAAAAATTAAAGCAAAAGTCTTTAATGTCTGCTGACAAACACATATTACTACAAAAATGTATGTATGTATGTATTTATTTTAAAATTTCACTCATTTATCTACATATATGTATGTAGGTAACAACTTTTTCTTGAAAGCAGCAAAACCTTGCACGTGACTTGCAACATCTTAGAGGAAAGCTTACAAAGTAAAATAATGCGCTCAAACAAACGAATGTATATATTATATGTAGGGAAGTATGTTGGCAAGTGCGTATATGTATAAGCATGTCTGTGCATATTGGAGCCCGCATCGCAGTAATTTTCAGCGAGAACCAGCTGTATTTACCCCATTTCGAGGCCAAACTGGAAACTGGCGGCGCAGCAATACGATGCGTTCCAACGTACATATTGTATGTACGTACATATGTGCATACATATGCCTATTTGCTACATTTTAAAACAACAACAACAAAAACTAGAGTACCAACATACCAAGAAAACGAAGAAGTTAAAGGAATTCGTTCTATTTTTTTTTTTTGCCGAATGCTTTTGTACAAGAATTATTTTATACATATCCATAGGTACATACACACATGTACACATATGTACATGCATTATTTTCTTGTATTTTTTTTTTTGCTCACCGTCGGCTTTTACAGTTGATTGCACCGCAATACTAAGCTGCATTGTGGCACTACCAACGGCAGTTAGTTGGGCGCTTGTTGCACCCCTTGCGCATAAAATACATACAAACATACATAAATATGTACATACATACTTTCAATCGCTGCTGCATGCTTCCTGCTGTTGCTGCCTGGCATATTGCTGTTGCACGTTTAAGGGCAGCCACCCCTTAATTTCGTTTAATTTATCGCGCGAAGAAGTAAATGCCGAGGCAACTTGAGAAGGTGAACACACATACATACCGTGCTATATGTGCATATAACTATACTATAGCGTTTTTATGTATATATATATATTGGTGTTGGTATGCGAACTGGAAGGAATTTCTTTTATATTGTTGTTGTTGTTCTTTCCAATAAGAGGTGTTCTTCTGAATATCCTGCTATTCCGGTAGATGTCACTTTTGAAGCTATAAATTTTTGACATTTGACAACTAAAAACTGCACCAGAGATGGTTCGTATCACTAAAATATTTTCTGTTTGCGGTGAAGCACCTTGACGAACCAAAATGCCGAAATTGGTGGAAAAATGGAGCTGTTGGCACAAGTTAGTGAAGTAAAGTATAAAGTACCTGCACGTCGCAAAAAAATAATTCAGAATATTGTTGCTGTAGCACAAAGTGTGAGGAAAACCTTAAAGTCTCATGACTTCAGTTAACACATGAACTCAAACCGGCAGATCATCAAATGCGTAATTTCTTTGCTGATTGGGCTCTTGAAATGTATGAAAATAAGCCAGAATATCAACGAAAAAATATATTTTGACTGATGAGGCTCAATTCCACCTCGATGGCTACGCCTCTCCATTCTCAACGTTATATATGGACTATGCATACACATACATATATATATATATATATATATATATATATACGAGGGGATTAACAAGAGTTCGGTAAGTTCACCAGAAAAAACATTTAAAAAATATTTTTGTATTTATTCGTAATCTTTGTCCTTTTTATCTTCCCTCCAAAATCGCCACGAATTTCAATGCTTTTCTTAAGCCTAAAGATCCACTTCTGGAACAGTCTTGAAAGTCTTGCTTTTTAAGCTTATCAAGTTCAGCATTAACCGCATTAATTATCTCCTAGTTGCTTTTACAGATCTTTTCTTTAAATTTTTTTTTAATTTTTGGAAATAACCAGTAATCACAAGGTGTTGTATTCGGGGAATATGGTGCTGGAGGTATTTCTTCGATCCCAGGGATCGCAATAAAATTACGCGTTACGGGATGGCGCGTTGTCATGATGTAAAAAGTAGCGCCGCAAATTCTTTTTAAATTTTAAGGATGGGTTTTGGTTTTGCTGGGCTCCATACCATGGCTAATTGGTTTCTGGATCGTACTTATAGAACCGGGATTCGTAATCATTACTAAAGTTACCAGACTCGAGCCTCTTTTAGTACCAGTTAATATTCCTTTAAAATTATTGGTACTCATCGAGCAGATTTCTTCGTGTATCCTGGATGAATACTTAATATTCGCGGTACAGTCATGACATTCAAGCTCAATTCATTAGCAATAATTTTTTGTGTTAATCGTGGGTCTTCGTCAGTTTTGGACTTCACCAGAGCTACAGTGACGACATCAATGGTCGGCCTTCTCTCGGCTTGTCCTCTACGGACAAAGCCGGTCGTTCTAAAATTTGAAATGAAGAATTTGAAGGAAGCTGAAGCGATTTTTGTCCGTGCTCCTCCTCCAATTTAACTTAATTTTTATTTAAATTAATTTTTCTATAACTTTTTGGATGTTAGTATGACACCAGGATGTGTATATATGATATGTATAAGTTTGTGTTTAGATACCTTTACCCGGTGGACCCACTTATGATGCCTAGTTGACAGTTTTAAGCAATTTTTCATACATGAAATGGTATATAAACATAAGTCCGAAGTATAAAAGAACCAGAAGGAGCAGAGATAGGCACTTAAAAATTGACACCGACATATTGAGGTAGGTAGATCAGAGTGCTGCCACTCGGGCTCAGTTACCGCTAGATTTGAGATTTTGATGCATTAATTGTAAGACTTTTTTATTATTGCCTCCCCATTTTACTGTTGTGTTCAAACTGTCTGGTGCTTCTAATGAATATACTAATATCCATTATGCTTTTTGTAATCAGCCTTTCAAGATTTGGGACCTGATGCATTCCATGTGCTCTATGTCAGGCTTTTCTTTCTATGTCCCTCCCATTTTGCAGTTGTGAAAAAAATTTTTATATATCAGACCCACTTTTAGCACATGTTCTCCAAATGGTCGACGCCCCGCCACTGTAGCTGCAAGTCTGTAAATACCTTTTCTGCACCTACTTAATAAGTCCTTAGTATTTGTATTATCATACTTTGGCCATACCTTCGCTGAATTGCAAATATATATATAGATCTCTCTTTTGACCATCCCTAAAAGGTAAATTATCAATACTGCTTCATCTAGAGTGGCTCTTGACTAAGCCAACTCGCCTGTTTTTGATTTCCGATCGGAACCCAAAATATCGCTAAGTGAATTTGACCTTATGCCTTAAAGTCTTTCTGTAGTTGTTGGTTACACATGAATTCTCATCTTATGCTTGTATCGCCATGTTCGTGGTAGCTTTCTGTACCCTCTCTGCTGTTATTCTATAGAGCTTCACAGGTCTTATATTTTCCTAGTACTTCCGGATGGAAGAGGCTAGCTGAGTTTGGTAGGCGGATAGAGATGGAGATGTCAAAATTCAAGTCTCCTTCTCCACTACTGAATCTCTTTTCCATTTACGTTAAGAGAGTATCCTCTCATGGAAGCTACTATTGAAATTCAACCTTACAAATATACAGTCCGATTTGTTTTAAGCCACTATATACTACTATACGGGAGTATTTTAAACACATCTGCTGGATATGTCTTCAGAGCCCCGATTAGCCCTTCACATATTGCTCTCTCTATTACCTATGATATGATCAATGACAAGTTGAGTAGATAAAGCCGTCTTCGTTTGACCGTCGGTACGCAAACTAGTCCCTCAATTTTTGGGTCATTTCAAAAAGTTCATAATTCAAAAAAAGACCACTTACGCGACTACATCCAACTTACTAAAATTGAGTTATTCATTCCTTCTGTTCGCTGTTTGGCGCCAATTGGAGGTACTAAGTACAGCCAGGGCCCTTTCTAGCTGATCTTTTCAATGTAGTGCAGGTCTTCTTCTTGTTCTACTTCCTCGGGCGGGTATTGCATCGGAAGCTTCCAAAGCTGGAACATTCTTAATCATCCGGCCCCCATGACATAGTCAGAGCAGCCGCTGTTTCTTGATTCGACGAAAACTCCTAACGCTGACTTATCAGATGTTGTCATCGTCCATGCCTCCGCACCATATAAAAGGGCGGGAGCGATGAGCGACTTTTAGAGTTTGGTCTTCGTTCGTTGAGAGAGGAGTTTAGTTTTCCATTGCCTTCTCAGTCCAAAGTAGCATCTTTTGGCAAGACTCCACGGAAAGACGAAATAATCTACGACTTCAAAGTCATGATTGTCAACAGCGAGGTGAGGGGCCTAGTCGCGAACGCATTGACTGTTTGCGTGATGAGAGCAGATATTCCGTCAGTACAAGACCCATCTACAGAAAGCAGAACTCACGGTGCGGTTGTTGGTGTCAATGATGTCAATAGAGTACGCCAGCAGCTGTATACTCTTTTACGAATATAAGATTATATCTTCTCTAATCAGCTCTGTAGATCATATTATTTCCCCAGCAATAACCTCGAAAGCTTTAAGCTTTCAAGCCAAAAAGTATATCATTTTATTTATAGGAAAGGTCAGTTCACGAAGATGACTCCATACTCTACAAAATTACCATTCAATTTTTTATAGTTGATATCAATCACTCATAACTTTTCTGCAAGATTCGTTTCGCAAAATCACATTTTTTTACATGCCCAAAGAACAGTTCAATAATTTTGTTATTTGTTAGCGAAATTTGGTTTTGTTTGTTCGAAAATTGAGAAAACGTTAGTACTCAACTCGTACTCAACTCGATATCAACTTGAGATTTACTAATTTCTCAAAGCCGAGAAATTGGTTTGATATTAACCTGGGAGCTTTAAGGTAAGATATGTATGTATGTCTAAAATTACACTCAACTGATTTATTTGCTTCTCTACTCAATTTCATTTTCATTTTCTGTTTTTCAGTTTCATGGTTAAAGAGACTTATCATTGTCATTTTTTATATTATCATTTCTTTATTTAACAAACAAAACATGAAATAAAAACATTATTAAAACGTTAAGATAGCTTACATTTAAACCTGCCTGCGCCGCTTTTAACGGTGGTATATAACTTAAGTGCACCACTGAGAATGATCCTTGACTTGCAATTTTCGTTAGCGAATCCTGCTGATCCATGCACAATGCCAATAAATCAGCCAAATAATAAAGCCCATAGCCAAAGCAATAGAATTTCGATTGCCTCAATAAAATCGGTTGTTTGCCTCGGCATTTTATGGTGAAATCATCATTGACATTTATCCAAGAACAATTCAGTATTGGTGAATTAAAAAATGAAACCATAAAGGAGTAATCAACATGCATCAAACGGAATATTTTATAAGGTGTTCCAACGACGGTCAATTGATCTTTATATTTGATTTTTATCTCCTTGGACATGGAACCCTTACACAGTTGCACCCATGTTGAATTCTGTAAAGGATAGCAGGCATCCCGTAATCTTGTCGTGACACACAAATAAAATTGATTTGAAAATGTAATTGCGAGTAGAATTATATAAAGCTTCATATTAAGTTAACTAAAATCTGTTCAATTTGTTTTCATTTTTAGTAGAAAGAATTGAGATAAAAATTTCCCAAACAATTTTCAAGCGGAAAAGTCAAATTGTATCAAAGTTTTGAAGTGATATTTATTTATAAATAACTTTCAATTATAAAAGTAAAAATGTCATGAAGACTATATGGTAGTCGAAGGTGAAAAAAGTTTACTGTTCAAAAAAAGAAAAAATATTCCATTAGTAAAAAGTAATCAATTATTTCTGATATTAATCCTATGTTCTTTTTACCATAGTTAAAATTATCCGATTAATGTCAAATAAGCACCGTTTTGCTCAATAACGTTTTATTATTTCGAAGTTAATGTCATTCACTATACCTCTCCCAGATAAGCCCTTGTCCCTATTGGCCAAAAATTGTGTTAATCGATTTTCACTGTCCTCTTTTGAGTGCCGATTCATCATCATTTGCCTTAAACAACAGATAGTAATCACTTGGTGAGAGGTGCGGAATATAAGGTGGAAGCATACAATCCTCCAACAAAGCTCTTAGAGCTTCGATTGGGTCACTATCGATGTCGATGTGGTCTCGCGTTCTTGTGATGAAGCATAATACTCCTCTCCTATTTGACACATCTGAGCGCTTCTGCGCAATTGCTATCTTTCCAATGGCTGACAGAACATGTCAGAATTATGAGTTTGGCAGTAGTATATCAGCTCAAAATGACTGATTCCTTGGAAATCCCACCAAACGTACAATTAAACCTTCCTGAAGGCTGTCAGTCCTGGCTTGAAGACCATTTTGCCATCTCACTTCCCCTCCACCACAACCGTTTTCATTTGACGTTGCTGTAAGTAATCGGTTTTTCATCACAAGTCGCCATCTGCTTAAGTTTGTGACGATTTTCGGTACATGACTTTTTTCTCGTTAACGCATGTTTCAATCATACATCGTGTGTTTTTTTTGTGTGCTCAACCGTTTTCACGTGATTCCAAACTGTATTTTTTGCAATGTTTACCTTCTTTGCAATCGAAACAGTACTCGCATGACCCTCGACGAATTCCATTATTTTATCGACATTTTAGACAAATGGTCATCCATACCGTGGAGCATCTTGCCGTGGAATATCTTTTACCGAAACGAAATAAACTAAGACAAAATTGGGCACGACTGACTATTACAGTACTAAGAGACCATAAGCACTTTTTCTTTTCGCCTTAATCGAAGAAAAATTATAGAATATATGTATATATGTACATATATGTACAGCCTTGGCCAAAAGTATTAGGCACCCTACTAAAATACAAGTGTTCTCAAATGTGGCTATCAAAGTTACCACTTCTTTTTCTAAATGTCTTACGTGGGTGTTTAACCGTTGATTAAACGAATAAATTGTGTAATATTAAAAGTCATAGCACTCTGGGTAAGCTAAACCTAAACATTGTCATTTTTAAGAAATTTTCGTATTTAAAATTTGAAAGTAAAAAGTTACCAATCTTACAAAAACAGTTCATATTTACCGAAATGCCTAAAAAAAGTGAAATTAATTGGAATTCAAGTTCTTAGTGAAGAAGGCAGGTCTCAGGTTGAGATTGTCAATTGGGTGGGATGTTTGCGGTGCGCGGTCCAATGTGCTATCAGGCGATTTGTGGAGACGAAAACCGACAATAATAAATCAAAAAGTGGAAGAAAGCGTCTAACCGGTAAACGAGAAGACCGAATACTTATACGTGAGTTTCTCAGCTGCCCTTTCGGATGAATTTAGTTTACCAGTTAGTGCACGAACAGCTTGCAGAAGACTTCTAGAAGCACGTTTAAAAGGATGTAAAGCCCGAAAAAAGCCGTGGCTTTCAGGAAAAGAATAGGAAATATCGTTTGGAATGGGCTCGCCGATACCAACATTTCACGGAAGAAGATTGGTCGAATGTTCTGTGGCCTGATGAATCAAATTTCGAGGTAAGGTGAGTTAAGATCGTCTTAAAGTATAAACAGCCATAGCTTCTTACCCTAGAGCAATTTTGAAGACATAATACAAATCTTATGAAAATATTTTTCTTTCATTTTTCTTTTCCACGGATATTTTGAACTCCTGTTGTGACGTTCGTGAATCAACAGGTTGGGGAAGAATATCATCCTGATTGCCACTGTTAAGCATGAGCTGTATGGCCAAGGCTGTATATACAATGTAATGTATCTCTTTGCCGGTGTTCATCATTGTCATGCGGTCAAACACTATTGAGTTAAGTGACCAACACTTCTCTCTCTTTACCTTTTTAGTACAAAATATGAATCATTTAAACCATCAATTTCAAAGATAATGATTACAAGACCTAATGCTTAGTAATGAGCCACATACCAGATATGGTTGATAACTAATTCATTATCAAATCTACAGCATTATTTTTTAACAATAACTCCGTAACTTCAGACCCAACGCGTTCCCAAAAAGTTTGTATTTTTTGGATAGCACTTAGCTCAAAATTAAACCACACTTAAACTCAACTCAAGAACGGTACATTTCTCAAAGGCGGGAGAACACGATGGGAACTGTAAAGCTCGAAAATAATTGGAGAATAAAGTTGGATATGAATTTTAAAACTATTAATTCATGAGTGTTGGAAAAAAGGCCAATGAAGGGAGTTAGTGCCCGATTTAGAAGAAGGTAGTGATGGCTTTTGCCTTTCTTTTGCGAATTTAGCTCGGAAACAATACAATAATTATCATACCAGCAATGTTTTTCTCATTTATTAGTGCATAATCTCTCCACAGAGGACATTTATATTTAGAAATACACATATATATACATACACGTACGTATGCCTTTCTTACACCAAAAATATTGCGCCTGTTAAGTATAAAAACCATTTCCATTTTAAATTCCTTGCAGCACTAATTGGTGGCTTATAAGCATAATGCAACGCTACAAACCCCTGTGGGAAATCTCTTACGGAGTATTCCGCAGGATCATGGCACACGCGCATCAATTCAATCGCATAAAGTAAATAGAAGTTGAAGCAATGAACCATTGACTTTTTCATGTGGTAATTTTCGTTTTCATCACATTTTACCTTCATATCTGAGCCGATTTGAATTGAGCTACAATTTTGCATTTGTGAATCGTAGAAAGTCGCCAGAAAACTAGCACCCGAACTGTCGGCGAACATCACTTTGTAGGGCGTGCCGACACTAGTCAATTGGTCTTTGTATTTCAGCTTCAGAGCACTATTCACAGCGCCGCTGCATTTGTGTGTCCAGTTGACATTTACCAATGGTTGGCAATTCGACCAATATTTCTCACCGTTGGTCGATGTGAACACATTTAAATATATTATTATGCTGATGGAGTTTAAGAAAAATATTTTGAACATTTTATTATAAAAATAAATTTTTGTCAATTCAATTCGTATTCAAATTGTTTTGTCTTTTCGTAAAACAAAATCAAAACGAAAGTCATGTAAAATAATAGACAGAGCAGTGTTTCCAAATTTCGAATTTAGGCTGAGTTAGGTTTTGATTACATTTGGCCTGACTAAGACCCACAAAAACTTGAACCGCAGGCTACATTATCCAGCCATATTGATTCTCTAGGGAACCTGAGGAGATCTATGATTTTGATGCCAACTGTCTCCGATACACCATCGAGCTGTAGTATTCAAAAACGTCGAAACCTAGCATTTTCCAAAGTAGAATAGTCGCATAAGAGATGGGTGATCAATTCCTGATCATCCTTGCAGCTTACGGAGCATCTTCTATAGGGAGAACCTAGTCTCTCCGCGTGTTATCCTATTAGACAGAAGTCTGTCATCGTGTTCTCTGGTTTTTCATTTTCGGCCAGGTATACCTGGGCTTGCGGCAGGTTATAGTCTCATTCCACCTTGGCCCGGCAAGGGAGAAAAGGTTTACCGATCTCATACAGTGGCTTGAAAGTTCAGCCGCCTTATAGTTTCCTTGGGACCAAGGACGCGCCCGAAAGAGAGTCTGATCTATTTGGCTATCTACTGTACAGAGATCGGACACAGTCCAGCAGTGGAGTTTATTGTAAACGAGCCCAGTGCTTATATTCTGATCTTTTAAGCTGGTTGGACTTGCTTAATGGTAAGGAGGATTGCCTGAGAAAGGAGGATTGCCTGAGAAGAAACCTCCGACAACTTTCTCCCAAGCTTTGATATGTTCGTTATTATTTTTAGGCGGCCCCTGGGGTGAGGTAATTATCTGTAGGAAGCAGCTAATATAACTGTACCGCATCGATCTATATATCTTGGTATAAAATCCTATTTATCCAATATTTTCGAGCGCCCCCATGGGTGAGTGATTCTTTGATTTGACTCTATTAGATGAAGGGCAGTCATTGCTGCCGATTGAAATACCACCAAGTCCAGTGGCGATATTTTGTGTGTATATATGCACACTAACTCTGATCTTAGAATCATATCTAAGAAGTCAGCATTTGAAACTTCTATAGCCGGTCACCATACAATTGCACCATAAAGGAGCATTGGCCTCACTATTGACACGTAGATATGTATATCGGAAAATTCTGGGAGGAGGTCGGCCAAAAATCGGTTCAGGGGTTACAAAGCACGAGCTAGGTGTCACAAAAATCTCGGACATTGAAATTTTCATTGACAGTTGTTGCTTTCTGTCTAAGCTTAGGAGATAAAAGTGAGAGAATGCGGAGGAGTTGGGTCGAAATAGAAATGTTACCTTGGACTTTATTTATAGAACCCTACAGCTCTCGGTATGACTAAGAAGCTTCATAAGGAAAATTAGAGTTAGAGTGTAATGAGCATTTCAGGTGTTACATTACGAATTTATGGAGCGCCAAAGCTATTCGAAATTGGCGGAGCAAGAGATAAAGTTCCGTTGATTTTGTATGTCTACCTCACATAACTTAGAAACTCGGCATATTTCAGTCGATTGCGTTTTGATAGACGGAAGACGTACCTTCAGTATTTTGTTGTGCATACTGTTTGAGATTTCCACCGCGGTCAAGAATGCGGATCAACAGGCGGCTTGATTGAGGAAGTACTACTAAGAGTCTCATGTTGATTCTGCTTGTATGAAACATGACGAGGTTCTTCATAAAACTTCATCGACGGAGTGTTGTAATTCCTAAACGCCAACATAAAATTCCATATGTACCAAAACCAGACATCAAGAAGCATAAAGAAGGTTTCCATTTAAGCCATGTGTTGTTTGTGGTTGGCCACAACAAGTTCCACAAACTTCTGGCGAAGAAAAGTGCACATATGCTGCGTAATTGCTTACATACAAACTCACCCATAAAGCAAGCAACGCGTCTGAGCGTGACACAACGTGGAAGCAGTTAAGAAATGCCAATATGTGGAGCGCCTGCTGCTGCACTGTTCATGTAAATTGTCTTGTAAGCAATGGGTCTACACTGCCATACTCATATCTCATCGTGGCCGCGCAGCTATGAAAGTGTGTGCAATCTGCTTCACATTCCTTTATCGCAGTATGCTTTTGTTGTTTTTCATCGTTTTTCTCTCCTATATACATACATATATTCGTGTCTTAACTTTTCGACGCGGCTTGGCGTAAATTTGCTGCATACTTTTGGCCCGCGTTTTCTTCTTTCTTTCTTTCTTTTTTTTTTTGGGTGAAATGTTACTTTAGCGGTTTTGCTCACTAAGTTCCGCAACAGCCAACAACGTGAAATACTCCAAATAAATACATATGTACATTTGCATATGTGTTTATATGTAATGCGTGTAAAGTAGTAAATTATAACGTTGAATCAGCTTAAAATGTAAGCATACTTTTGTGGGCCACGCGGCGTAGTCTCATGTGTGCGTACGTATGCAACTACAAGTTGTATAAACATTGGGTTGCCTCAAAAGAAACCGGCAACTTTTCAAATGAAAGTAAATACTTTTTTTTTAACTTTATAATGAATTTTACTCCATTTTGTGAACTCAATTTTTTTGATGACCTTTCGCCATCTTTCCGGTAACATCATTATTTCACGCTCATAGGACTTCTGCAAAAAACTGAACCAAGTGCGATTTTATAGCCTCGTCAGTTTCGAAAGTTTTACCATTTGATGAGTTCTGCAAAGATCGAAAAAAATGGTTGGCTGACGATGCGAGCTTAGGGCTATATGGTGGATGTATCAGTAGTTCCCACCCAAACTTTCTCAGTTTTTGGCGCGTGACCAAAGCTGTGTGGAATCCAGCATTGGCTAGTGGAATATGACACCTCTACGATTGACCATTTCTAGCCGCTTCCCGTGGATGTATGCATTCAATTTGTCCAGTTGTTTACAGTAGACATCTGAGTTAATTTTCTTTTGGTGATTATCAACCTTTGAAGGGGTTGGTGACGTTTCATAATGCTTGGACCATGGTTATTTTCGATTGATGATATTGTAAACAATCAATTTTTCATCTCCAGTTACGATTTGCTTCGAAAACGGATCGTATTCATTCTATTTGAGATGCATATCACGAGCGGCGAAGCGACTTGTGAAAAAAATTTCTTTCAATTCATGTGGTGCCAAATATATCAAGATTCTTATCGTCATCATCAACTTTTCACTTGGCCGACCTGAACGTGGCTTATCTTTGAGTGAAAAATCTCGCGAGCTTAAAAAAAACAATACAATTAAATAATCACAAGCTGTTCAAAAAAATTGTCAACGCCGGCTTCTTTTGGGGCAACCCAATAGCAACACATACTCATAAAACTACATCGGCTTATAAGGCTTAGGGTGTCGCCTGCGAAATCGGAGCACCAAAAGTTGGTCTTTGCTGTATGGAGACCAAATAGTATTGCACCATCAGTTTCCAAGAAGCAGAATTGTAATGGATTTTCATTTTGGGATGCTCGAATCTCTACTACAAGAGCCATTCTCTTCACCTTTATGTCTTCTTCAGAACTAGCGGCGCGGTTGATTATGTCAAAGATATTGATAATATCAACAGTTTTGTAGTCAACGGCGGGACAATTAATTTCCAACGGGTGTCATCCATGATTTATCTTATGCTGAATATCTAGTCTATTCTGAATCTATGAAGATGAATTCAGCCAGATAAGACCATTCAGTTCGCTACCGATGAGATTCCATTATATGCAATATGAGGAGACTTATCTACCAAATATATGCGCAGACTGTCCTCCTCGTTAAGAATTTTTTGAGGTACACTTAGCAACCAATTATCACGTGCGACATCGGCTTACGTCATTTTCTCATTTTTAAAGTTATGAATCAATATTCGAACTTCATCTTAATCAAATGACAGAACACATTTTCCGTCGTCATGGCCCGAATCCTTAGCGTTTTCCTTTCAGGAGGAGAAGTGATTCCATCCATATCGACACAGTTTGACCTGGACATTGCTCATCAGAACTCCTTCCTGGTATCAGTGGTTCTAATGGAATTATCGACCAGCTTCTCAAGCTCATCGTGCTTACGAATTTTGGCTTTGCCTGCAAATGGTACTAGCTTCCTTCACCTACTCCCGTATCTTTCCCACACAGTGCGTGTTATAGTCGATCGGAATTCGGAAGGTAAACTTTTTTTCTATTATAATTCTCATCGTTCTTATTCCTACCTTGAGGAAAGTCTATAGTTAGTGGCTTTACGTAAGGAGCTAGAAATTCCATCCCACAGTTCTCTTGCACAAAGTTATTGTTGAATTCTCTCATAGAGTTCGCGGTCTACTATGCTTCTTGACATTCTTCCATGTATTTGTTGATGGGTTTTCTTCGCTACACCGTGTATACGATAAGTACGTATCCTTCCTCCAACAACGTAGTGGTTCCAATCAATATAAGGCCCTCAAAATGGCTGTTTGGATTTGGTTACGACTTTTTTACACGTTAGTGGCCCATTTAAGCTTCCTCCGGCGTCGATCAGCAATGAGTTGCAGAAATTTGCTGATTGTGGTCCTCATCAACTGGGGTAAAAAGCTACAACTCGGCTTGCGATTCGGATTGAGTCTCTCTGCTGTCAACATTTTTTTATCGCTTTGTAATCGCCGAAGCCATTTTCGGCCAAGCTTCCTTCAGTTTGTAGTGAGAGTCTTGAGCTAAGAGGCCATGGTTTTTATGAGGAGCTTTTACAGTCGGAGGAGTGACATATCTTGCCGAGAGTCGACCGAAATTGAAAAAATGTTATACTTTTGATTTAAAAAAAAATTTTTTTTTGTAGGACGGAGGTTTAAACTGACCATTTGAATGGCAGTACGCCCTGCTAACCACTAGAATATTGTACTCCTTTATAATGTTGCTGTCCCACCGTCTTTCTGGCCATCGTTCCAATTTGTTTCAATAAAACTCTGCAACATACCACTGGGCATGTGACATACATAAGAGCATAAGTCTGCATTGAAGTCGCCGCGATTTCGCAACAGCAATAATTTGTACTTCGTTTAACTTTCCCCAAGTTTGCGCAACGAGTAGCTGCCC